TTGTTTTCTTCTTGACAAAACTGGTCTTTGGGAAAAGAATTGCCCTTGTCTTGAATACTGAAAAAATGCACTGTGTCCAGACTAGACAAGCAGGATATAAGCAAAAAGACTGCTAAACTTTACCAAGACAGGGTAAGATTGCTTTTCAGATTTTTCTGCCTCTGAAAACTGTCTGTTAGTAACTCTAGGTCTTAGTCAAAGTTGGTTGTTCCAACGTTGCAAATGAGACCTTGGGTGATTGCTCAGGTAGCTGGTTGTGTCTATCATTTCTTGTACCTTTTGGAAGTTGCTTGATTGCACTTCCTATTAATTTAAGTATTATTTCTCTTCTCAGGTCTTTGATGCGATTAAAGACTAGACAGTTATAATTACTTTCCTCTCATGACTTAGCCAAGCCATTTATTTTTAATATAAAACTTAGACTCCTAGGATAGAATAACTATTGAAATGTTTAGTTTGATGTTGTTCATGCTGGTTGTAATTCTAATTTTTATATATGTTTTTGCCTTTTCTTTTCCCTATACAATACTTGCTATTTGTTCTTATTGTATATAGTTTTGTCTTAGGCTTTGAACTCTCTTATTTAGACAAAAGGGAGAGGTGCTGTGGGAACTCCTTCAGCCCACTTTGGGTGTGGTCTCATGTACTATAAATGCAGATGAAAAACATGTATGGGACTCTTGGTTGCTGGAGTTGGTTTCAGTTCCAAGTGCATGCAGAAGACTGTGGATTCTGTTAATTTATTCCTATATAAATAAACCTTTGTAATACTCTGTTCTGGTTTATTGTGGAACTGTTTTGTACACCAACAAGATATAGCATATGGCAGTATATATTCCCTACTATTGTGTATCTAAACCTAAAATTCTTTAGTGCTGGATCCATCACATAACAATCTCTGATTCTGTGGTTACTGCTTTTCCCTATGTACATAGAACGTAAGGCTCCAGTGGAAGCAAGCAGAGATTGCTGCATTCTTATAATACTATGTCCACTGGTGACAGAGAGAAACTTCTAGAAATACTTCTCCAGATGTTCCAAGCTGCTACTTAGGTTCTTAGCTTCATAATCATGCAATAAAGCCAAAAATATAAATCAAACACAAATAAAAAAATGCTTTGAAATTATGCCAGGCAATTTAAAGGTTGGGAGGTATAGCTCACTGGCAGAGTGCTTGCCAGGCATGGATGTGGCCCCCATGTTCAATTTCCAGCAAGCAAGAAAGAAATTTCAACAGTTCAGTGGTGCAGGAGAATTATCTGTATTCTGTCAATTATGTATTTTAATAAAATGCTGGTTGGTCAGGCAGGAAGTATAGGTGGGTCAACCAGACAGGAAGTAGAGGTGGGGCAATGAGAACAGCAGAATTCTAGGAAGGAGGAAGCCCATTTCTCCCTAGTCCTGCCCAGATCACTGAAGAAGCAAGATATGACCTGCCTGCAAAAAAGGTACTGAGCCATGTGGCTAACATAGAAAAGAATAATGGGTTAATATAAACTACAAGCGCTAATAAGAAGCCTGAGCTAATGGGTCAATCACTTTTATAACTTATGGAGACCTCTGTGTGATTTTCTTTGGGGCTTACTAGCTGTGGGAACTTGGCAGGACAGAAACCCCAACTAGCAAGCCTACATGTTACAGTTCAGAGGTTAGACTCTGATGGTGTTTCTCCAGATATCTCCCTGAAATGATAATTTCAAAACACTACAATATCATACTTCTGAGAAAGGAAACGGACCAGTAACCCATTTAACAAATCCAAGAATGCGATTCATTGTTGGTGTCAGCATCAATACTTTTTAAATTAATCCTTCTCATTTTAATTGGATAGGAACATGCTATGCATTTTTCTCCACTCCCCTTCCATCTTCCACCCCCTTCTCTCCTCCCCCCTGCCCACCACACTTCAATTTACTCAGGAGTTCTTGTCTTTTTCCTTTTTCCTAGGCAGAGTCATGTATGTCAATAAAAAACATTTTAATTTGTACTTCTTGGAAGAAATGCTAAATTCTTGGGCAGAATTTACACTTTTCACAGCAAAAGCTACTTTCTACAAAGGGCAGGGGGAGGTTATTTCCAATCGTGATTTGTCAGGAAGGAGTTCTGTTCTCCTGTGGCAATGCTCAGGCAGTGTTCTTCTGGTTCTGTCTCTTGGTATCATCTTGCTATGATGAAAGCTTTCAATCTGGTCTGGCTTCATTTAAAATAAGTCTTTGTTATTATGCGCCTTAAGAATATATGGTTTTGAATGAAGAACTAATTTTTCTTAAGTAACTATATCAATAAAATATGGACAAATACACTTAAGCCATACTGAGTCTGCTAAGGTATGTTAAAACTCATAAGAGGCTCACATTGGGAAAAAAATTGAAAGAGACACATAACTCTTATTTCCATCACTCTGCCTGTGATTTTACTCCAATAAGCCCTTAAAGGTCTGTGTTAGTTTTCATGTCTGTGTTGTTTAAGTGCTTCTGAACTAGCTAGCTGAGCAAACATAAGCTTTTAACTCTTCATAAGCTTTTGAAATACAGTGTTTGTAATCATATTACAAATATATATGCTTCTAGTTATAGTTTAGAATACCCTTTGAAATAAATTACTTTTCAAGGTAACCACTTTGTGTGATTTTATGTGCATGTTGGGCAAGTCATAGAACCTGAGGCCTCAAATGTCCTTAGCTGTGCTCCAACCCCCAAACCAAAATCCAGTTTTCCTAGAAAATTTGAAGACATAAGGTGAAAAGACATCAAGTAACCCATGATGAAATGGTGATCATCATGAAGGAGGGGCACGGTGCAACCTCTCTCTGCGGAACTGTTGGTAATGAACTGCTGCGAAAGGAGGGGGTGTTATTTTCTAAGGGCTCTACACTACTTCAGGGAATAACCTCCCACTGGACCTCTAGCAGGAGACACAGGAAACTCAATAGACCACACACAAAAACAAGACATGGAGCATAAGGAGGGCAACCAGGGAAGGATGAAGAATCCCAAGGTTAGGTCAACAATGACCAGGGGACACGTTGGAATGAAGTTTTTACCAAGTAGTGAAGACCCAAGTGTAGTGGCATTTCATATGTATTTTAATAAATAAAACTTGCCTGAAGATCAGAAAAGTAATATACCCATGCTGGTCAGCTTTAAAGATCAGGGGGTGATACACACCTTTAATCCTAGTAGCCACAATAACACTAGCTTGCTATAGAAACCAGGTGGTAGCGGTGCACGCCCTTAATCCCAGCACTAGAGAGGATTATAAGATGGGAGGAGACAGCTCTCAGTCTCAGTCTCATTCTGAGATTCCTGGAGGCAGGATCATCATTTCAGACTTAGGTCACGGTAAGAGCCAGTGACTGACTGCTTTAGTTGTTATTAGTGCTTCACCCAGGCCTTGATGAAGGGCTACTTTCTTGAGCGTTAGTGGAGACACAATGGTGCTGCATAGGAAGGGGTCAGCACCCTGCAGGCAGGTAACAGTGCGCTAGTGAACTAGGTCCAGCAAGGGAGACCTCTCAAAAATTACACAGCTGACTCCGACTGGAATCAGTCAGGGGGTTATCTGTGGTGGCTGCCACAGCTCAGAGAACTGAAGAACAGGGCCCTTGGGCATTCCTAAACAGGTGGCAGTTAGAAGTGAGAGTGTCTTCTCCCTATGCATTGTCCCCCAGGGAAACAGCAACGCCAGACCCACCAGGACATTCTGTGCATCATAGACAAGACCACAGCTCCATCACTGTATCCAGACCCTACCTGGAGTTCCACATGAGCTCCAGCTCAGCAAGAATCTGTCCTGGTTTTTCCTTGACTAAAAGGAGAATCACACACAAGGTGATTAGACATTGGGCTAATTCAGCACAAAAAAAGAACTTAATGCTCTTCCAGAATGACTTGGTGGATACCCAGGACCCAAAGACCTGGCTCAACCAAAACCATGACAACCGGCACTGTCTGTGGAAGGGACTGGCTAGGAACTGTCTAGTGTTAGATCCAGCTGTGGGAGTGTGAGGGGGGCAGCTCAGGTCATCTCCTTGAGCTTACTGGAGATTTGCAGTGGTTATAACTGGTATAAAAGGCCATCAAGGATGTGCAATAATGCACCTTCAGGACTGAGCAGCAAAGGTGTTTGAGATGAGGTGAAAGGGCCAGTTGTGGTCCTCCTATGGGAAGACATCTAGTGTAACCTTGGTGCCAGGCTATGATACGTGTGTGACAGTGTCCTGGAGCAGGTCACAGCCTGTGGAGCTCAGCAAACCAGCACAGTGACTCACCGAGTGCTTGCCAGCCTAACTGCCAGGCCAAGCACACTGCCAGTTATCCCTCAAGTGCAAAAACATCTTTTCAAACCAAGTTTTACACATTTTGGAAGGGAATTTTCTAAATAACCTATGCCTTCAAAACCAAGAAAAGTGATTTTCCCCCCCAGAGTTATCAGTGTGCTGTAAAGTGTTACAGGATCATGGGAAGCAGACCATGGCCAAGGAGTAAACGGTAGAGAATTACAGAACAGTCCTTGCCGTCTCCCGCAGCTCATGCCTCTTACTCTGGTGTATATTTTGCTAGTTCCTCGTGACCTAGAACAAAACAAAGGAATGGCAGAATTTTTTCTGCCTACATAGCTTCCATATTGATAAAAATCAAGAGAAATGACTATAAACCAGTGTAGATTTTAGAAACAACAAAGACTAAATCTTTAAATTTATACTAAGTGGGTGCAAGGAATATTCACTGAACATCCTATCTGCAAGGTGCATCGTTATCCACACTAATTCTGTGGAAACATTTGTTGCTGCTTCCACTGAACGCATAGAGACTAAGAAAACTTACAGTACCCCAGTAAGTCCCGCAAGCTTTCCACAGAGATGTGAAACACCTTCCCAACATTATTCTCATCATAGACACCACATCACTTAAGAACTCTACGGATTTGTACTTTTATGATCTATTCTCTATTCATTTTTATAAAAAAAAACATAAAATCAAGAAATATGTATGTCAACATCAAATTTCAAGTAATTTTTAATACTGTTTTGAACACAAATATTGAGTGTTAAAGACACAGGCATGTTGTATACACATATCAACATGCACATATGTATAAAACACATTTTAACTCTTAACAAAAGAGTTAGCATATGCATAAAAGTGACTAGTGAGGGTTTCTCACCTTCATATACTAAGGTGGTTGATGAGATCAAATCAGGACATGCCCTCCCCACTGTAATCCCAATCTTTGAAATGAATCATGGGCCTTTCCATGAATCTATTCTACAGACATTTTAAACATTCTCACTTCTGGTGTAGACAGCTCACCAGAGCTCATGTGATGATTGCATCCCTAGGACTCTGCTGTGGCTTCTCCACAATGGAAGCGAGTCCTTTCTTCCACTCCTTAGTATTCTTGCCTGCCATTTCCAGGATGCTTCTCATCCACTTACCTCCCCCTCCTTTCCTAGTCAGATGTGTGGCATCTGTCGTTCCTGAGAAGCACGGTTATAAGGATGTCAGGAACTCTTCCCAACCTGGAACACAGGGTCCTTTTCTAAATCCTGACGTTAAAACCTGCCATGCTTTGAGTGCGAAATTCTCACCACAGGTTATGGATTTGAATATTTGATCCTGGCTCTGCTTTGGAGGCTATAGAGCCTTTAGGAGGTGCTAGAGGGGGAAGGCAGTGGGGAAAGGTGTGAGGGATATAACCAGTTGCCAATTCTATCGCAGCACTGTAGCTATGAGGCAGCTTTGAATCCCATGGCACAACTGTGAACTTCCCCGTCAGTCCTGCTGTCATGGCAGAGTGTGCCCAAGAACTGTGAGCCAGAATAATCCATTCCCCTTTCAGTAATCCTGTTTGGGATTCTGTAACACGTGACTGGAGGAAGAGGACACTGGCACTGAGGCATGGACACTTGGTGGGAGAAAACCAAGCACGTAGTCCACAAAGCCTGCTTGGGAAAGAAATATACCATTTAGAGATGGAGGCTAGAAATGCTCTAGACGGGTCTGAGCAGACCTTGATCAGTCAATCCGGGGTCTGCAGAAGGCCAAGGTTCTAGCAGACACAGACAGTAGTGACTGATCATCTCAGCAGGTTTCTGATGGGGAACAGGACCCTATGGAAGCTGGGCATGAAAATATTTCAGTGACACCCATTTATAGAACCCGGGTCTGTTCTCTCCAGAGCCTGAAATTTAAACAGTGAAAAATTTCAAAGATATGGACTGTCTGGGGAGGGAAATTCAGCAACTGAATAAATGCTGCTTTTCCTCAGAAGGAAATCACATACTTGTATAGAAGACAGAGATCATACATTTACCTGTTTTCAATTACAAGAGTAACTGTATGTTGACTGCTCTCTAATTACAAAGTCCTGTTCATGTCCATAGAATTCAATTCATTGATCTGCTTTCATGGACACATGGAGCTTATGACATTCCTATTAGCCAACAACTGCAACATTTCACACAACTCTGAAGCCCTTCCACAACTCCGACAAAGGTAGTCTGTAGCCATCTGTTTAGAAATGTTTCGAAACCTGAAGCATCTCATCTTAAAATAACCAATTGGTGGATCCCAGGATGTTTACCGTCAATTCCCTGAATCAGCAATCTCTTCCCTGTCAATCTCATGGTCTGGCCAAAACGGCGAAAGACAGATGTGTGGATGCTGCTGCAAACAGCGTGTAATGGTGATTCCCAGGGAGGCTCACACTGAGCTCCTCCAATGGACAATCCCTTTCTTTTCACAGTGGCACAGACTCTGCCAATGGTGAGGAAGAGACTGTGTTGAACCCACATTCAAGACTGCAGTGGTGACAATACTCGACCTTGGTGTCTGTGGGCCGTGAACTAGTGATAGACTCCACACTGCTAGAACACAGCTCTAGAGCTCCACGAGGCACGCACAGGACGGATCACCCGTGTTTAGAAGCTCAGGTGTTCTCTGGCTGAAAACACTTTAGAGTACCATCCCTGTCAAATTCTGATCTCCATGAGGAAGTGATGTCAGGTGTGACTTTCTTCTGTGAAGTCATGACACATACATGTGACAACACCTGAATCTGTGACAAGTACACCGTCTGTTTCCTTCAAGTGCCTTTTCAAAAGAATTTTTGTAAAAAGAAAAGTCATTGCAGGAAATAATATTAGTTTTGGGAGCTAGCTCCAGCTTTTGACTCAGATCTCCCCTGGTAAGCCCTCAGCAGAGCAAGACACTTCCTGCTTGCCCTCTCCATAGAGCAGTGTTGCCTGGTTCATCTTCCAAGAACCTTCTGTCTAATTGTAACTGGACAATTCTACACAGATGAGCAATTATGAACTTGGTATATTCACTTCTATTCCATTCAAGATTCTACCAGCGAGGTTATCTCTGATATCTTAAAAGAAATTGCATCTTGAATGTCATAAAAATTGATTCAGAGTATATGGCTTCTCCTTCAGAAAGGTGTTGATATCTTTTTTAAGATCCCTCTGGATAAAGTTCAATCCGTTATCCAATTGAAGATAATTTTAACATGTGACTGTTTAAATTCTGATTAACACTAAGGTTCAAAATAATTTCATTAGGAGAGACATCCCTGTTTTCATTTAAGGGGATATGGAACCCTGGTATAAAAATTTGCTCTCACAGGAGGGAAGAGATGTACCAAGATGCCCTTGGGCTCCTGCCATGGGCAGATGATGATGGGCATTGTGGCAATAGAGACAAGTGTCCCTTGAAGGGGATTTTGCTCTTCTGACAGGCTTCCCCTAAGAGGGCATGCATTCCTGAGGGGACCCAAAAGCAGGGCAGAGTGTCCTCTGTGGTAAGCCCACAGCCGTGCCACCACTGGGACGATCAGAGCGGGATGTCCTCTGGCAGTCCTCACTCTGTGTCAGGAGTGTTGGCGGAATGACTCCACGGGCCATGCCTGGGGTCCCTGAGGAATAGGCTATGCTGGCAGGCAGTGCTTCCTGGGTGTTCCTAACAGGAATCCTGACACATATCTCCTCTGGAATTACCCAGAGTAATGGTTTTGCAAGTATTGGCATTCACTGTGGGCGCTGGGGGAGTTTATGTGTTTTCTGAGGGACTTTGGAAACTAAGTTGAGCATCCTGAGGGCCTGGACTGTACTTGCTTCTCAGGAACTGACCCGCCACACCCAGTGTCACATGGTGATATACACAGCTGGGCCTTGCATTCTGAGGGAACCCACGACCATGCCCAGTGTTCTCCCAGGGTTTTGACACACAAGAACAGTCACTATCTGAACAAGTTTCCGTTTTTTCAAACATCATTACAGAGTCTGCTGTCTGGACCAGTCATGTGTAGGTGTGTACTCAGCACACAGGGATGAAGGGGTCCTGGGAAGTTGGGCATCCACCATGAAGTTCTCTGGCTTCTGGAGGAGGAAAACAGGAAGTGGTTACGCTTCTGCACTGGACGAAAGGACAGCTGCTTGTGTTTGGAGGCTGATGACCTTGATAACTACAGCTACCCTGGACTCCAGGAACAAAGCCCACACTGCCTACATACGTGAGTGGTAAGACCACGTGGTGCTAGGTCACTCTGAGTGACTATGGCATGAACCACAGAGATGGGAAGAGGAGAGAAGTCTTCAAGCAGAGGTCAGTAGCTGCATAGCAGGAGGTCTGGCACTCAGGAAGCCCTTCCTTCCTTGGATCCTCTCTCAGGCTCCCCGCTGAGAGGTCATGCCTTCATTTTCTGGCCACAGAAGGGTGGTCAACAGTGGGCCTCATTGATGACTCCAGGAAGCAGAGCCTTCTGGACATTACTCCAGAAAGTACTTATAGATACAAACACATAAAATCATCCTATGAAGTTCACACCCTGGGTTGACTGTACAAAGAAGGAATATTCATGACCAGAAACAGAAGGATCTTCATACCAGATATGTAAGGATTCTTCATGGCCAGACGTAATGACAGCTGAGACAAGCTTTGAGTGGTTCTGTACCCCCATGTAAGGTAATCTGGTTATTGCCTGGCATCCTGTAACAAATCTGTCCTGTGAAAACATCTGTGTACAGTGACATGGCCTCCTCTCTGGGAAGCAGTGATCATATTTGACCATACACTCTGGTCACCAGAATCGCTTAAAGCATTTCCGTAGAAGGGTGTCCTGTCCCTAGAAGGGTGTCCTGTCCCTTTGGTCTGCCACTCAATTCTGTTTGCCCACCAGATTTACCCCGAGGGTGACTCCATGTCTTTGAGGGAATCAAAAACTAGACAGAGTTTTCTCTACTCTCAGGGTTGGGTCTCTGAGTAAAGGAGCTTTCTAGGTTGAGAACCCTCTATGGGCATCTTCATGTCCTCTGAGGGAATTTGAATTCTGGGCACAGCACCTATAACAGAAACTTCTTTCACAGATGGCCTCCTGGAAAGGAAATGGGGGTTGAGCCTGTCGTTTCCGTAAGAGTCAGGACTCGGGGTCAGGCATCTTCTGGGGTCATCTCTCACCCCTGGGAGAGAACCTGAAAGCTGAGAGGAGTTCTCTTGGAGGCATTTTCTCTCTAACAGCATCTGTAAGCCAGGCCAGCAACCATTTCTCACAATAGGAATCCTGGCTGCTGTCCTCCAGGGACCGTGTACCTGGCCCAGGATTTCTAGTCGCACCACACATGTGCAGACAGACATATTCTGAGTGCTTCTGAGGGAATCTGCGTGCGGTCCCAGTCATCAGAAGAAGAAACTGACCTGAAAATGGGCAGGTGTACAGATTAGCACAAGGCAATCACAAAAACTTCTACATGGAAGAGAGAGTGCAGAGGGGACAGAAATGTCAACCTATGTTGCAAGCTTCTCAGATGGTACCACAAGCCTCTCCCACCCCCAAAGCGGACAACTTCCAAAAGCCAATCAGGGACACAACAGCTTCTACACCCGATCTTCCAGAAAGGCTCATGTTGTCGCCTTGGTCTCACCAAGGACTGTAAGGAAAAAAATCTAGATGTGTGACCATTTGTTACAGCACTCATAAAAACGGACACACCCTTTTTCCAGTTTTGATCTTCATTTGAATTGGATCTCCAAGAACCCCCAGATCTGATCACTTAGAACAATGAAAACCTGTTTTCAATCTAGGCATTCCCTGAGTTAAATGTAATCTCTGAAGCCTTGCTGAAGTACAGAGTGTGAGTGACCTTTTCAACAGGGGTGGAGGCTGGACAAAGCCTTTAAAGAGCTCAGATCTGGCTAAGTCGCATTAAAAAGCCGCTAACAACTTGCAGCAACACTGTTAATTAAAATTGTCAATACACATGTCAAGGCAAAGAAGACGTGACGTATAAAGAGGCACCAACACAGCTAAAGTCAAACATTTCAGAAACAAACAAATTCCCTCGAGCGTCAGGCCATGTTGAGGAATGAATGCTGGGCTTTGCATCTACTTGGATTTTTTTTTTCTTAACATTAATATTATGTCATTTGGTTCTTTGTGCTGGGTGAGGGAATATCGGCAAAGAATTTGGTCGTGGGAGCAAATTCACTCTGTAATGAATTCACAAGATGAATTCATCTTGTCTCTCTGGAGTAGGTTAGGAGGTGAGGGACTACCCGAGTTCCCTCAAGAGTGTACTGTTTCTGTATGGGGCTGCTCTTAACTCTAGGCTCCTCCTACCCACCTCAATTCCCTTTTCACATGTGTGCTAGCTGACGCAGGCTGGGTGCTCATACCTGTATCACAGTTTGAGCTTTCTAGCCGCCAGCCACAAAACACATGGACCTCTTTCTACCACGCTCATATTCAGGCATTTTGCCACAGCACTATAAAATGGGCAGATACGTGCTTCAGGGCAAGCCTGTGGTTTGAAACCTGCTGGGCATATTATAATTTTGTTTAGTAATTGTATTTGGTGCAGGATATTCCTCTTCCACATGTGTTATCATTTGAGGCCAGTACTTCCTGTCCGTGTGAGGAACCTAAGGAAGAACATTCACAGAAGCTTATTATTGGTATTGTCAACTGATGACAAAAGTATTTGGGGCAGGAGTCTTTACAGGTCACTCAAGTAGAAATCACTTTTCCTCACGCTGCAGGAAAAGGGGCTCCAGACTGGCAGCGAGAAAGGGACCCTTCACTGATGCACAGGGCAAGGACTACAGACCTGCAGCTCTCCCCAGTGTGTTAAGGAGAACAAGGGACATGAGCAGCAGTCAGAGGAAAGGCACAGCTATCATCCTCTAGGACACTGGTACTCATGACTTTCACACTAAAACAAACCAAATGAAAACCTGTAATGCTAAGATAAACGCCTTAGAAGGCCCTGCATGGCCTCTGACTGGGAGGTCAGCTTCCTTTGCTTTCTCAGAACCATGAGGCTGACTGTGAGCTCTGTCTGTGCTCATAGAGAAAAGGCTGCAGAACCTCGCTGCTGACTCTCACAAACAAAATTGCCCAGGAGCACGGGACGTGTTCCTCCCCAAGGACAAACCCACTGCTGGAATGGAAGCCATGTTTACATCAGCACCATCAGCGACTCTTCAGTAGGACCTGCACTTTATGTTAGTCACGTGACTGCTCTGAGAGCAGTAAGGCCTGGGTTTCTTTTCTGGACCTAGAGTGCTACAATTTTCAGATTTTTCTTTGCCCAGACGATTGTGCTGCTGTCCTGCCTCCAGCTGAACGTGGTAGACAGAAATGTAAGGTGACAGTCGGGCCAGGGACCAAGACCCATTCTGTGACTCTGCCTTTAGCAGGCTTTCATGCAGAAGGGTGAAGGCATGTATCTAAAATGCTAAAGATCCATCCTTCCAAGCCTACACCATTCTCTCACTCCAGTAATATGCAAAGCATTGAATATTGTGGCCACCATGGCTGGATGGATCTCACACTGCAAATATGAACTGCAGTACACAGACAAGACATAAGAAAGCCTTCTCCAGACATCTACATAAGAGAAAAAAGCAGTCTGCAGTAGAAAGCTCATAACAACTTGAGCCCATTCCCCCAAGTGTCTTTCTTATGGCCTCTTTTGATGTCGTGAGTAAAACTGAATCTTGCCAAATTGGCTGTGAAGTCTTGTCCTTTTGCTAATTGGAGCATCAGATTGAGACAGACAAGCAGAGGTGAGAGTTCTGCTTGGGACCCCATAGGATTCTGGGTTCTAGCCTCCCATCCCATGGCAATAACATATTTTGCACTCTACTTCCTTGACCTGCATCTAGCCCACACATGCCTCTAGCAACCTTAGATCCACTCAATCACCTGTGGTGGGCTATAACATGCCCTGCCCATGGTGCCAACTGAATTACAGTCTCATTTCAATTTGTTCTCAACTTGCGCAAACATGGCAGGTGTGAGAGTCGAAATGGCCAAACTGACCTGGCTCCAGGTGCACTAAGGCCCTGTGTTCTTTAGAAACTGCATAACTGGGCACACAGGTGAATAAAAGCAGTTGCCGACTAGGCATGGACATGCCTGTTGAGGACCGACTGAAGGGTCTGGAAATAAGAGTGAAAATATAAAAATAGAAATATGGACACCAAAGTTTAGAATGTAGAAGTTCAGGATCTAGGAAGACAGACACATAAAGCTGTGATCTAAGCTAACTGCCAACAGCTTTCTCAGCGGATCACAGATCAGTCATTCACAGGAGTTATTTTCTCGGATGCTTGGGAAATCTCCATCCGCTTAGGCCATTTCCAGCTGTCTGTTTTATTTACAAGGCCAGAGCTTCTCCCTACAAATTGAGAGTAGTGTCCTGGCCATCCTTGATAAACGACAGATGTGAACTGAGTTAACATCTTTAGGAGACAGAGATACATGACCACTGGGTTAGGCACTGTCTTTGTTATGGGAAACTGGCATCACCAAAGAGAGGCATGGAGCTTCAGTATACACTGCCTGGAGGTACCAGGAGAGACAATGGACAAGGTAGAAACACGAATTTGACTACTGAGCTCTGATAATGGAGGTTGTAAAGTATGGCAGTCAGTATCTGAGTTTTACCTTGAGATAGTGTGGAAAACTTTCCGCTATCTTCTAAGTTCTCAGCCTAAGAGCCAGTTAATCCTAATTTATTAACCTTCTGGTATTACTAGCAGTTCCTTTTCTGACTAATTGCTAAAGACACCCGTTTTCCTACAATTAGTGACTTTCGCTGTAATCCACCCTGAAACATATTTTATGATAGCCACCTAGTTACCCACTGACTCCCCTCCTTAGGGTCTATGTTAACTGACCCATGGGGTCAGGGCAAGATCATAAAAATTCCTTTGTTCGGCACTAATGCTTGGTGCCCCCACTATAAAAAATGTGTTCCAAAGCCGGCCTGGGACCACAGCCTAACAAACACCATTTCTGGTTGTGGTCTCAGCTAGCTGATAAGCTTCTATGCCCCGCGGTGTTTATATGTAATTGTATTATCATTTAAAAATAAAATGTAAAAGTCTTTACTCTTACTTTTCAGAAAATCGAGTGTCAAAAGACAAACTGGAGACATACCTATCACCCTAGTTATCTATCCCTTCACTGTGAGAGAAAGCATGGTGTCGGAGAAAGTGGGGTTCCAGATCCCAGCTTCCACCAATGTCCATCACTGGGGAAGCTTGAAGCTGCCAGTCACAGCACACCCACAGTCAACAGAGAATGAATGCACTCACAACTGCACTCTGTGCTCCTTCACACGCTGGCAGAGTCCAGGATCTAAACCCAGGGTGGGATGCTACCCACAGAAGCTAGCGTGTATCAGTGAATTCAATCACCAGCATCCTCATAGTCATGAGCACAGTCCACCCCAAGCTAGACCATTCTTCGCAGAGACTCTTCTCCCCAGGTGCCTCTATGTTGTGTCAGGCTGACAACTAAAGCAAACCATCACACCTACAAACCACCTACTCCCAGACTTTCAGCTTAGGACCTAAAGTACTGACAGCTCAGCAGACACAGCTCTGCTCTATACATAACATCCTCAGCTAACACAATTCAACAGGACGTGGCCGATGGCTCAGTAAACAATACAGTTCTGCTGTACAAACAAGAAGACCTGAGTTTGAATGCCCAGCATCCATGAAAAACCACTAATTTCAGTGCTGCAGAAATGTAGAGACAGGTGGGTCTCTGGGACCCGCTGGACACCTCTCAAAGTCTAGTGAGAGATGCTGTTTCTAAAACTGAGGTGGGAGGAGAAAAATGAAGGCACATGCTTCCATACACATGCACCTGCATACTTACATGCTAACTCCATATACACATTCATGCAACACACACATACACACAGACACACACACACAAACACAAAGTATAATATAAAAGTTGGTGGCATAGGCAAAAAGAGCAGGAAGCAGGGAAGGTGTTGTATAGTAGATAACTTGAGCTTTTTCTTGATCATTTGTGGAATATTTTCTGACCTGCCCCAAGTGTCCAAGTGCACAGAAGCTCAGGTCCTTTCAATCAAAAGCCGATGTTTATATTAACCTTCAAACCTCCGCCCATTTAATCAAATCCTCACCACATTGCTTCTCAGTATCTAATGCTACACAAGCAGTCGCTGCATTGCTAGGATAAAAAGACAAAACAAAAACAAATGTGCTTAATAAAGATTCACTTTCTTCAAACATTTTTTGTTCCTGAATTATCAGACAGGTGCAGAGGTCCTGGAACATCAGAGAGTCTGTAGTGAGACTGGATAATCCCATCAAAAGTACTCCGGAGGCATGGCGAAGGCTGATATGGGACCACTTGGTGGTTCCTTTGA